CAGTTTCTGGCTGCGTAGTCTCTCGATATCTTCTTGTATCTCTTTTACCTATCAAATAGAAATCCACAAACCATTTCTTATAGATAAAAAGCTAATCAAAAAGTCAGTGAAGCTTTATGTGGTAGATATACATACCTGTTGTTGGAGAACAAAGATGACACCTGCTGAGCGGGCTGCCTGCTTCTGTCTGCGTAACTCCAACTTGTTTTGTTCTTCAGGCTCAAGTTGATCCTCTATTTTCTCCCCTGTTGTTTGAATCCAATTGTTCATTATTGTTTAGTTAAGTCCATTATTTGTGCTATGAAAACACATGAATAGTGTGCCCATTGTGGTGCCAACATTTCAGAACTTTTGTCAAATCATATTATCAATAGTAAGAAAAACAAGTTTAATGTAACAAGCTTATTGTTTTTAGTCTTTTACCTCTGTTGGCTAGCTCTTCTACTTTCTGAATATAAACTTCCAGCTCATATTGAAGTTTGAAGATCTCCTGGCTTAAAGGAGCTTGTTTGACTCCTTCAAATCTTCTCAGGCCAGGGTCTCTTGTTGGGGGGGATTTGCCAGTCTGAGGCATGGGAGAAATGGGATACTTCTGCTGTGTGTGCACTGACATTTGGACTCTAGGTCGCGTTGCTTTCTCTTTTGGACTGGAGGTCTTTAACTTGAACTTACTCGGAGTGGCTGCAAGCTCCTATAGAGAGAAGAAGACTCATTGACTGAACAAAGCAGCAATCATTCATTAAAAAGGACATAAACCAGGAAACTATTCATTGTAAAATGTGTACTATTTATCAACATGAGTTACCTGGAGTAGCTCTACATCACTTGTTTCAAGAAGAGAGGCATCCTGAGAGAGTTTGGCAGAGGATTTTGTCAGTGACTCAAGACGCCTTTTCCTCAGATCTCGTTTAGCCAGTTGAACCGCGGCTCGCAGTCTCTCCTCTGAGAGGGAGGTGAAGCTGATGGAGCTTCTGGTGCTGTCAGCTGTCTCACGCTGCTCTGACAGTGGCAGCAGCCTCTCTATCACAATGGGGGCTGGCGGGCACACATGGGTGGCACGGTTGCTGGTTCTTGCAGGGATGGCCTCATTGAACAAAAGCTGTGGTGTGTAAGATATCAGTAAGTCTTAATGAATCTTCAATGTGATCAAGCAGACATTGTGATACTCAATCATGCCTTTCACACCACTTTCTCAACAAGTATTTTATTTGTTCATTTATATTCAAGCCAGTTGCCACATTACATCCGGCCTACAATACGTTTTTTGTTTTAACTTCTTTTTAAAAGCTGCTGATGTAACTTCATTATCATTCAAGAAGAGTGCAATAGTCGGTTCTATTTAACTATGTTGTGCTGTATCGATGGATGTGTCATCAAGCGTTTGCTCACTGATACAGAGGGACACAATCATATACATTATTGTTCCAACAGCACCAAACGCCACAGTGGAAAACTTGATCATTTAACCTTTTCAAAGTACGATTTATTGCAAGGCTGATCGGAATTTGGTTTATCTAACGCTAGTTGTACTGAATAGGACTAGGTGTACATGTATGCACTTGTAAAAAGGTAGAATGATTTATCTATAATACAGATAGAGCAAAGGTGAATGTTAACAGACTTTTCATACATATATTATATTGTTTACCTTGGTTTGGGACATCCCAGTAGTTAAAACGCTGTTGGTGTGAACAAACCAGTCTCTCCCTTGGCTTTGCTGTCCTACGAAACTCGCAGGGCCACTCTGCAAGAACCGTGCAGTCATTGTAGAAACTACAATCACCAACTCAGTCAAAAATAGGAATCAATACTTAATATAAAGCATTAATGCTAGTGAGAGTTAGCATTAGCAAGCTCACAATGCTTTGGAAGTGAAGCCGCAAACATTTATGTTAATCCAAACATCATCCATTCGACCATCGCTTGTTACGGTCTATACAGAAATAATAAATTAACGTTTCTTACTGACTGTTAATGAACATAGCACACACGGTTGACTTGTTCAAGTTTAGTGTAAGCTTGTCAACAATTTGAAACGCCGCCATGACAACAACAGTACGCCGCCTAGCGGAAGTAGTTTTATTTCTTAACGCCTAGTACGGAAGGTGAAAGTAGTCAAATATTAATGCAACTGCATTTTTAATAAACACGTGCCAAATAAAAATACCTGCTTATTTTCCCTTCTGTGACATATTCTGTATGTGTAATATACTGTGAAATACTGTGCCATTTGGTTATAAAATGATTGAACCGGTAAAGGAAATGTGATGAGCTTCGTAACCGTTTTGGCTACACGGTCCCTTTAAGAACCTTTGCACAACCGGAAGTGGTACTGTCACATTTTGAGTATTTCTACGAGGTCCAGTGTGAAGAGGAGCATCATTTCTGAAATAACACTTCTTAGGTCTTGATAGCCTTATATTTTAGTGCATTTTCCCACTAAGTCAGTCGAAACGATGGCCCACTACGAAGAGGTGACTGTGCGCGGCTATGATGAATTCTCTCAAGCTATATCTGAGAGAAAAGGAAAGGATATTTTTGCTTATTTCTCTGGTAATAAAGACGCCCAAGGCAAGAGCTGGTGTCCAGACTGTGTGACAGGTAACTTTATATATCGTCTACCTGTAAAATAACTATAAATAACCCATCATTGTATGGTTACCTACTCGTTTGTAACACATATTCTACTGGAATGGTTGTTAATCTATTTTGCTCTTATTTATCTTGCACTTTGGTACATATCCATTCAGTCAATTGTTAACAGTTTACGATCTTGTATTTCAGCGGAGCCAGTTGTCAGACGAGAGATGACCCATCTTCCTGAAGGCTCTGTCTTCATCTACTGTCAAGTTGGAGAAAGGGCTTTGTCAGTATTGTATTCTTTTATTAAGTAACTAAAGGTACACAATAAATATAGTGGCGTAAAAGCTATTTACCTCTGAATTGTGGTAGGGTAGAAGTACAAAGTAGCATAAAACGGAAATACTCAGTAAAGTACAAGTTTCTGAAAATGGTATACAGTACTTGAGTAAATGTACTTAGTTATTTCCCATCTCTGTTCAAAACTGATGTTATGGGTTGCTCTCTAAAATGTATTTTTTTGCGGCTCTGGTGAATTGTATCAGCTAATCATTTGTTTTCATGTTTCAGTTGGAAGGATTCAAATAATCAATTCAAGAAGACACTAAAGTTGAGTGGAGTTCCGACTCTGCTGCGATATGGCACAGTAAGTATAATTAGTTTTACAGAAAAAAACATTTAATTTAGATGATATAGATCAGGTAACAATCAATTTCTTATAAAATGTTGCATATTAAAAAGCGTAATCTATTACTGTTACTGTAGTTTTAATGGACTATACCTTCCTGGTATACAGAAATGTTAAAAGCCCTGTCATCCTGTTTCAGCCTCAGAAGTTGGTGGAAGATGAATGCTTCAAGTCCGACCTGGTGAGGATGATGTTCACTGAGGACTGAGGGATCCATTGCCTGTCAGGCATCATTTGTTCAACGTTGAACAGTTCACTTTACCACCATTGAATTCCAGCACCATCACAAAGTATAGCTCCTTCTGTCATGTGACGCTAATCAGCAATTGTGTAAGTTCACAACCAACCAATAAATGATGAGCATCCTAACGCTCATCTCCTCAATTAATTGTACTGTAACATCTGCATAGACAAACATGTGTAATGCATGTTACTCATACTTATGGTTCTCATGCTGCTTTATGTGCAATCACTCAATCCTGATTGAAAAATGTAGCTTGATACATTAATGCAAATGATGTGTATCGCACTATTGATCATTACAAATATTTTGTCTGTACTGTGACCATTTATATGTGATTATTTTGTGTGGCCTTGCATTAGGTATCAAATAAAGTATGACTTGAAGTTTAACATTCATAACAGAGAAATTGTTATTTTCTAATGTGTTATACAGTATGTTTGCATTCTTTATTTTATTTAACCAGCCATCTATCGATTCCTTTATATATCTTTCTGCTTACAAATCTTATTGTCTTAAGGGCAAACCACCATAAGATGCTGGCACATTTGCAACATTGAAACCCAGCCTTACTGTCTTTGTGTCCTACATACAATCCTACCTGGACACACTATGTGTCTGTCTAAATCCTATTGTCTTATTAAAATACCATATTTGCAGGTCTCCCTTGAAAAAGAGATCGTTGATCTCAATGGGATTTTTACCTGGTTAAATAAAGGCTACAAACAATTTATGCAAGCACATTTGCAAAACCATGATGTCTTGAAAACATAGGCAAGCATAACATATTAAACACTAAACTACTGCACACACTCTAAAACTATTAGAGCCTTATATACTTAATTTGATCATTAACTGTTTTTGTATTATGTGTTAGCTGTTACATGTATGATGAAGCCCACACCTTCATTTGCTAATCTCACAATTGGGTGTTCATTTGAGGCAGGATATTTTGACAGAGTTTAAACATTTGCTTTTAACTATTGTTTGGCAATCATCTTTCTCCTCGCATACACCTGAGAAATATGTGAAGTTGTGTCACATCTTTGCTCTACCTTAACATTTGTTGCAGGTAAGTATCTTCTTAAGAAAACTAGATGGCAGCATATCCCTAGAAATAGGGAGTGCCCCAGCCTTATATTTTTGAAATGTACTCAATCTAATGTAATGTTGTCTAATGAAGCTTGATAAACCAACAAATTGCATACATTTAATTACATATAATGTAAGTTTGAGTTGGAACCTACATTCCGGCTGCTTTTAATCAGAAAATCCGAAAAGTTTTAGGTTATATAAAACATGCAAACTCATTCATTAAAATAATAAGATGCATTTTCTGCTCGTACCAAATCTACATCCTATACAAAAGTGATCACAGTATTTTATGTGAAGCTACAATTAACTGAGGTTGTAATGAAAGTGTAGCCTATGCTATGGGAGGAAACAGATCGCAACCGCTGTTGCAGTCAGGGCGATTTAAGCGGAGCGCATTCCTGCACAGCGCTCACTCCGGAGAACGAGCCGCAGTGAAGCACACACCGCAACGCCTCTCAGGAGCTGGAGCTCACCTACAACCTCACGTCGGGGGTGGAGGAAGTGCCGGGTGTCTCCTGAACATAGCGGGTACATGTACATTAGCTTCGGCCGAGGGTAACGTTGTGTGTTCGAGGACCGTACGCCGCGATGTCGGAGTTCCTGGTGAGTCTATTCGGAGAGCGGCTCGTCAACAGCGAAAAAGCCGAAGTGGACGTGCAGTCTCTGGGCGCCAAGCTGTCTCTGGTCGGGCTCTTCTTCGGATGCAGCCTGAACGCACCGTGCAAGCAGTTCAACGGCAGCCTGTGCGAGTTTTATACTAGGTTCAAAAAGGCGTGTGAACACAAGGACAAATTGGAAATCGTCTTCATCTCCTCTGATCAGGACCAGAAACACTGGCAAGACTTTTTGCAGGAGATGCCATGGCCCGCCTTACCTTTCAAAGACAGACACAAAAAGGTAAGATGGGCTTTGGTGATGAGGAGGAACACTGCAAATCAGTGCTTACTCTCTCAAGAGGTTATAGTGTTTTAGTGGGCTAGAAATAAGTGGAAAACACCCTGTAGGCCATGTCTGCTTCTTTTGTCTTTGACAGGTGTGTGTGATCTAATTTTAGGTGATTTTCATTTGTTTCACAACCATTTTATTATTCAAATCAGATCCCCTTACAATTGACTTTAAGCTACTGGACCACTGCCATCCTAAAATATATTACAATATTTTGAGCAAATGAATATACTTATTGAAAACAAACACATTGTACTGAATATAAAAAAAAAAGAAAGTAAAGCCATGTTTAAAACAATTAAATTAGTACAATGGGGAAATAAATATTACTTTTATGACAAAATATATTTTATAAATATTGTTTTACACCTTTGAGAGGACTTGCAGCTAGCAAATGAATCATTTTCTCCATGTATCCTGACTTAATTTACCAAGATAATTTAATTGTGACAGACCAGACATTCCTAAGTTGTTATGAGGAGCGGAAACAGAAAGAAAGACTTAATTTCACTTTGTCTTTTCACTGACTAACATTTCTGTTAGAGGAAAGGGTATTGGCACATAATATTTAAACTAAAGATCTCAGAGCACTGTTATTTTTGCATCCATCATATTATCCATGTTGCTGCTTGTGCAGCCTGCCCAGTAAATGCCTTTTTTATTTTTGCCATCATCTAATCTAAACATTTTTGCTGATTTGCTGTTCACTGTCAACTACTTATTATGAACTACCTATATGTATATTTTTTGTAAAAATTGTGAGTCAGCATGGATGCATTTTTCTGTAATACTTATTTTGAAAATGTATTACAAAAATAGTGGAAATAGACAAAGAAAATTGATTTCTCCGTTTAGGATGCTACTATATTATCAAATTGCATAAGTGTCTCTTTTTTATAATTTGAATTTGTTATCTACTATCTATAGTTTTAACATATAAGACAAATATTGACAGTTTGTTTGGCTCGTAGCCTGAACTGCACCACAAAATAACCCATAAACATTTAGTGGATGTATTACCATTTTTCATTTAAAAAAAGGATTGATTTTACTAGTAAAGGTAAAAATGTTGCTATTCATTTGAAATGATAAAAAAAAGGGTACAGAGGATTTGGAACACTTTAAAAAAAACAAACAAGATAGCATATTATATTATACAGTATATTAAATAATGTTTTTAACCCTGGTCATCTTATACAAAATACGTTAAGGAAAACATAGTGGCCTATAATGTTTAGTAGCCCACATTGTGTCTTTAACAGTGTGTGTGTTTTGCAGAACAGATACACATATTTGTATTCTTGCCACGTTTAAATATTTCCACCCCAACTGCTCTTTGTGTAGGTGAGGCATGACCAGCTCTGCATCATTGTCTTGTAAATTCTTTTAGATTGCCAATGATGATTTACGTTACACCTCGTACTGAAGTCCAGGCGTGAATGAGAATCAGAGATAACAGGGGAGGGGGGGTTGTCTTGTTGTTGTCTGGGGCGGAGCAAATCCATCGCCCCTTACTGCTTGTGGAGAATATGTGTAGCCTCCACATAACCATTGTGCATGCTCTTTTCTCTGTGGTCTACCCGTCGTCTCGGCCTTATGAGTAAATCAACCCGATTGTGTATCAGTGTGTTGCTGAGGCCTGCAGTTTTTATTCAGTTTGGGCTTCATCCAACCTTTCGGCCTATTCTCTCTTACCGATATAACCCAGCAATGGAAATGCATGTTTCAGTTGGCAGCTTAAGTACAGTAACACAATATCTTTAGCAGACAATATTATGCATAATTCAGTCTTTTTTCTATTAATCTTCTTGGTTAACTATATGTATTAGTAAGTTTAATTATGTATTATTCTAATGGGAAACATGCCAAATATGTTGTCTGCGATATGGCAATTTATTGTTCACTATTTTCCTATTAGTGATAATAAATATATTTTCTACATATGTTAAACAAAACAATCAAATAATTATAATAAAAATAATTAAGTTGTAGCTCCAAATAATTGCTTATTCTGTCTGGATTCAAAGTATGCATCTTTTTGAAACACAACGTGTTCAATTCAGGACAAAACCACACATTTTCAATTTTGGGTTTTTATTAAATGTGTGAGACCTTTAAAAAAAGCAGGTGTGAAATTATCTGTTGGATAATTGGATCATAAAGTAATTTCTTCTGGTTCTAAAGCGAGTTGGACATGTTTGATTGAGAATGTTACAGTGACTGAAGAGGATGTACTGTGTGCGGTTTGGTGATGTTGACCCAGTGCAGGGCCGTGTTGATGTTGTTGGTCAGCAGAGATTAAGTGCCCCTCTCACCTCTCCTCTCTATTTGACTTGGTGCAAGCCAAACTCATCCCCTAAAGGATGCAATTTCTCTCTGACGAGTGTTTTAGAGCCTCACCGCCCACCTGAGAATATCTGGCTGTACCTCCTCCCCTCTCTCTGCACTGTACTGACAGGGCTATATAGCATGCACCAGAGGCTGTTCCCTTTTTTTTTTTACTCAGGGGTTATCAGGGCCTTCCTGTTTCAGAATATGTTTGTTATTACACCTGAACTGATAATATTCCTGATTTTAAATACAGAGTGAAAGGGAAGTCTTAAACCTAAAGTTGAGGACAATCTTTATTTAATGGGATCTTGCAAAAAGGAAAAAGCTGTCATGTAGTTCTCTGGTGGTTTTGTTATCAAAACAAATAGACATTTACATCTTGGTGCCAATGGGTTTTAATTATGTTATTTCTTCATGCGCCTGTCTAACTGACATATTTTGATTCCATAAAGGTCACACATGGGTCTGTTGAAGACTTCTTAATAGTGGAAAATGTCCATGGTCTTTCTTATCAGATTTTCTTCATTCTGAAGGTGGCGTCACTCTTAAACCGAGGCTGATCCAGAGGTCATAACATTGTTTTTGGACTGCTTTGAGGATACCTACTAGTGTTTGTCTTGGGGAATCCCCGAATAGCACGATCCCAGTGAGTGGTCGTCTGCTTGTTGTCCACGATCGGCCAGCTGTCTGGCTGCTGGCACTGCCTTACATGGACTTGTGCAGCAGGAGTGAGAGCAGAGTTCCATGTAAATCAATTAAAGCCTTGGCCAACTTGATGTTAAAAAAAAAACTAACTTGACAGAGGTAGAGAGAACAAGCTGAGATGCTGCCAGAGCTTCGTCTGAAGGAGTCTGAGGGGGGGAGGAGAACATCGTGGTGAGAGAAAGGCCTCTTGTTCAAGTCCTCCTGGTCAGAAGCTGCGCTGTAGTCTGCCCCTAGAGATAGGACGCACGCTTGCTCGGCTCATAGCAAGGGGCTCCGGGTGGAAGGGGCTTCAGAGAGGGGCTAAAAACACCTTTCATGAATATGCCATTGATCTGCTGAGAACCACATTACAGCCCATAATAGCTCTTTGGGCTGTGACAGTAGAAATGACTTGAAAAGGGGCCCCTAACTGTTCTATCCGCAGGTGGCAATTCCCTCTTCTTGATCTGTCAGTGTTGCATTTGGTTTTTGTGGGCTTGAATCGTTAGATGTTTTACTCTTTGTTGTGTTCTAAGGCGCAGTGCAGGATAATAACGTCAAGTGACTGACATTTTTGAGGCTTCTGTGATGTAATTGAGAGCTTTAAAGTTAATTGTAGGATTCTGAGAGGATGTATATGTTACCAGTTTCACTCTTCAGCAGATCTGTGCTGCGGCTCATGGGAACAAACTTTGTGGATGGTATCATCAGGATAACAAACTGAGATCTTTAGGATCACCATGTGTCTGACTGCTGCTTAACAGAATGTCTAATCTTAATTCTAAGACAAATAAAAGAGAATCCTAAAAATTAGCAGAATGCATGAGACTCAAATTGACTGGGACTTCCCCTAAGGAAGGTTAACTAAGGACGTTTGTAGAGGGTAAAACAGTCAACAGTCCCACAATGGATGCAAACGTACTGTAAATGGAAGGAAAAAATAGAACAAGTGTAGTGTAATGCAACTCTAAAGCAGTGAACTGGAAGTAGTTGCACTCTTTCAAATTCCTAACCCTCTCTTTCAAATTCCTAACCCTCATCAAAGTACTGAGGCTTTAGTAAATAGCCTAATAAGAAGTTGGTGCTTAGACTAAGTGGAAAATAAGAGAATCTGTACTTCAAGGCATTTGACCCTTGCTAATTAGATGACTAATTCATGAAACCCTGAATGAGGACTGATCCTAGTTTCATGATGTTTAATTTCCTTTAAAGATCTGCTCAAAACTCCGGAAATTGTACTTCATACTAAATACAGTCAAACATTACGATTTTCTTTCTATACAAATAAATTACATTAACACAACTTGATAAGTTTCAAATTGCTAAACTAAACTTTGACACAGGGGCTCTATTTTCAATCTGGTGGTGGTACATGGAAACTTCTTTAGGTCAACAATACTTAATGACCTCCCTTAGATTAAGGCAAAGAAAGCTCTGTGTTTTTGGCATAATTGAAGTATCTATATAGTCATTTTTGTTTAAATGACATGTTATTACATGGGGGGGGGGAAGTACAGGAAATCCCTCAGACATTTATCAGGCATCTATTAAATCAGGATTTGAATCTCTGCATTTTGCACTTCAGGCTGTGTGTTTGTTTGAACAGCTTTATAGGATATTTTCAATTTGTATTTCTGCTCAACTGCTAAAACACTTGGATCACTTCCTCAACATTATATCAGTTGTGTCCTACAAATGAACCAAGGACAACATATTAAAATGCCAAAGCAACTGTAAACGTATCTTGGCTTTTGTTATACCATACCATTTATAAATTCCTTTGGGTTTTGTGTTACACATACTTTTAAGTTTTGGTTTGCTGACCTTGCAGTCACTGTTACCTTGCTTCAGGCTCAGAGTGTGCATGCCTGGCTGCAGCACTGTAGTTTAATGGGACTCCATTGTCCTGCAGCTGTGAGGCCTCGTTGCTGTGCGCC